AGCAGCTCCATGTAGCTACTAATTTTTAAACTACCAATAAAGATACGAGCAAGGCCTCACCTTAATACCAAAAAAAATAAAAAATAAAAAATAATAATCACTATATGTTTTGTATAATTGCTCTCAAAGTTGTACTTTAGCCAAATGTCCATAAAAATATAAAAATTTTGATAAACAATATGTTAAGAAATATATTGAACAATTTGCTTATAATGGTACTTTAAAAATATTACTTGATATAAAAATGAATATAGCATCAATTGATCTTCAGCATAACTTATTTAATAAGCATCCAAATAAAGTTAATAAATCTGATGAAATTAGAGCTAAAATCAAAAATAATATTCATTAAATGTCTGCAGATATTTTTAAACAATTAGAACAATAATATCCAAAACTAATTCAAAAACAAGTTCATATATAATAGACCTATTTTTTTAAAAAAAAGTAAATTTGAAATGATAATCAATTAAGTTCTATAAAAATATTAGTAAAAAAAAATAAATGCAAAGTTATTTTAAGTAACTATCAAAATATTCAATATTTGGATTTTATAATATTATTTTTTGACTTATTAAAAAATAATGAGAAAATAGTTATAAATACTATATATAAAAAAATTGCTTTAGAATATGAGTTGCATGTAGTTATTGAACATTATAATAGTTCTGGATTTGTACTTGCATATTTGTTTATCAAAAGGTTTATAAAAAATAATAATATACAAACAGACATCTTAATTTTATTTTTTAGATTTTTATTTAATCTAAAATTAAAAAATATTTGTTTTTTTTTAATAAATAATAATTTTGTATAAATATCAGTTGTAGTAAGAATTAGCTAAATGTCAATATTCATTTTTGTTTTTGACAACTAAAGAAATTACTTAAAAAATAAGTTACTAATAACATATATTCTAAAATAGTGAATTATAGTTCATCTTCAGTACATGAAACATTTAAATTTATCAATATTGAATTTTATCTAGCATCATTAGTACAACTAACTTTAACATAAAAAAAACCTTGTACTTTTGTTCTAAAGAGTTTTATTTTGTAATTATTAATATAATAAAAACTTTTATGCATTTTTATTGATTAATTTCAAATGCTAATGAAGTTTATTTGTTAGCAAATAAAATTTTGAAACAATTAACTAAAGAAATTTATAAATTCTGTATTAATTATGATTTAAAACTTCTTTGAACTTATTTATATAAACACTGATATTGTAAAGAAATCTGAAATTTGTAAACCTATTCTACTAGTAAAATTTGTATATTCTATACTACTATATTATATAAATTACATTGAAAAGTTCTTAAAAGAGATTTTTTATTAAATTTTTTAGATCTCATTTTAATTTATTAATATAAATCAGTGTTACTTACTTAATTCTATATTATAGACAGTAATATAATAAATATTATTGTAAATGTAAAATGTCTTTTTGGTAAAAAAACTTTAAAAAAGAATGAATTATGTTAAAAAAAATAAATTAATTATAATTATATAAATAATGTTGGAAAATAGATTTGTGAATATTAAAGATTTTTAATTAATAATTTTTCTTGTATAAATATTTAATATAAACAACTCAATCTATGACTAATAAGTTTTTTTTGAAAATATTTAGTAACAAAAAACTTATTTTTTTATTTTTATTATTTAAACATAATAATAACCTTATTCAATCTTTAATTATGCTATTAATACATATTAATATAGATAAAAGTTGATAGTTCTTAAATTAAAGCTTGTTTTTTATATTTTTAATTTTCATGCATGATAATATAGATAAAAATCAAAAATTCTTAAATTAAAGCTTGTTTTTTTATATATTCAATTTTTATATTATTTTTACAATTGTAATATAACAAGCACAATCATTAACTATACAATTAATGCATATATTATAGGTAAAAATCCAGCCTCTTCAAATTAAATTTATTTTTTTACATATTCAATTTCTATACAAAATTTAATTTATTTTATTTTTATTATTATGCCAATAAAACTTATTCAACAAGCTCAGTTTTTAACTATGCAATAAATGCATTATAATATATATAAAAATCAAGTTTCTTTAAATTAAACATTATTTTTTATATATTTAATTTTTATTTTATGAGATTCAATTTATAGAAATATGTACAATTAGAAATTAAGTTTTGTAAAGTGAAATTTTTAAAAATATAGATGTATATTAAAAAATAAATAATACAATAAAGATTATGAATTCAATTAGTAAAAATAATAATAATAAATTGATACAAATATTCTTAAAATACTTGAAATTATATATGAGCAAAAAAATGCCAATAATATTCAGTAGGCACAAAATGTTAAAGAAAACTTTAAGGATATACAAAATTTAGTAATAGTTATTCAATTTTATAAAAAAAGAATCACTAATCTTTATACTTAAAAAGATTACAATCAATATACAATGTTTCTAAATTTATAAAGCATAGTAAGTATTTATTATTTATTTTATCAGCTTAAATTTTAATCTATAAAACTTACAGAATTGTGAATACTAACCTATAATATTTTTATAATAATATCAAAGAAAGACAATAATAAGATAATTATAATCTTTTAATTCAACTTAAATCAAAGAAATGTATTACAAATATATGCAATTTATACAGTATTTTTAGTAAGTTATATTAATTATACAATTTAATTAATAATTAGAAATTTTAGTTTTTTTAAATGAAGATGAAAACAAAAATTAATTTAATATTGAAAATATGCTAAATTTATATAATAAATATTATGTTTTTATAGCTATATATTTAGCAATAGTAGGTTTGTTACTAATTTTTTCAATACTTTGGTATAAATAATAATTGTTAATTTGGTTATTATTAGTAGTAGCACTAAGATAAGTTTCGAAAAAGTTATAAAATAATAGCTTTCATGCATTTAATTTGTTTTAGTATTATTGAGTTCAGTAAATCCTTTTTTAGTATTTAAAAAAGTTGGCAAAAAAAGATAATAGATTAAAGATAGCAATTTTAAACTGATTTTTAGTAATATAGAAAAGTTAAAAGATATATCTATTTAAATTTAGACTATATATTAATTGAAACTAAGAAATAATTATATAAGTTAGTAAAAAAAAAAAAATAAGTTTTTAATATTATATTTTTATTTTTAGATAATATTTTATAGTTCTCAGATATACAAGTATAATCATAATATAGAGCTGCTTTAAAATATAATTTAAAGCATCCTTGCAAAGTGTCAATAAAGAGTAATTTTAAATTTAGAAGATAAAAAAGCTTTGCATATATTAAAAAATTTGAAGACAATTGTTATTTAATATAGTTGAATATTTTTTTCTAATTAATATTATAAAATTATCATTTATAAATATTAAAAAATATTTTAAACCAAACTTTGAATTCTGGTAAATAATTTTTTAAAGATAAAATTTGACAGATTTGAAGAAATCATTTTTTAAAAATATTAAGAGAAATGCTAATATTAAATTTGTAATTATTTTAAATTTTAAAAAGTAATAAGTTAATATTATCTTTATAAAAATAATAATGTAGTTTAAAATAAATAGTTTAGAGTTTAAGATCTTTGTAAAAATTTTCTGTATAAATAGGTTTGTATTTATTATAAAGAATAAAATATAAATGAACTAAGTTAAAAGCTACTTGTTTTTGGTTAATAGTAGTATATAGAAAAATAAAGTTATAAAAAGCAAAAATTTTTAGATAATTTAGTTAAACAAATAAGATTATATTAAATTTTTAAGAAAAGAAATAAAGTAAAATAAATTAATTTAATAAAATAAAGATTATTTTGTTGATTAAAAAATATATTTTATAAATAAGTTCAGTTAAAAATTTGAATTTTTTGACTGCTAGAATTTTGACTAAGTATTTGTTATTAAGTTTTAATTTAAAAGTTTTATCAGATGCTGGTTGAATACTTTTTTCTAAATAGATGTTAATAAAATGTGATTTAATAAAGGTAAATAGTTAATGAGCAATAGAATTATTGAGTTTATTTTTATTTTTTATAGAATTAATTATTGTAAATTCTTTAAACTAGTCAAAATTATTGCTAATATCTTATTAGGTTTTTTTTTTTCTTTATTTTTGTTATTTAAAATACTATTTTAAATTGAATTTTTTATTTTTTTTAGTAAAAAAGATTTAAAAAGTTGTATCTTTTTATTAAATTTTATTTTTTAAATTTTAATAAAAATAAGAATTAGTTATTATTTAAAAATAAAAGAAAAAATAATTTCTTTTTTAGAAGCAAAAAAAAAAGTTTAAATGTTTAAACTAATTAGTTTAAATTTAATTAAGGTTGTAGCTGCTTGTTATTGAAATATAAAAAAAAAGTTTTGTATTAAAGGTCTAAATTTAATTATCTAATAAACTAGAAATACAAACTATATAGATAAGGTTTTGTTTAATGATTGTGTAAATATAGTTAGAAACATAACTATATTATTTTATAGTTAAACAAAGAATATATTTAATTTTAAAAATAAATTATATATGATAAGGTTGGAAGTAATTACAGAAAGTAGAGGATAGTGATTCTAGTATAGTGGCTGGGTTGTTATCTTCTAAATAGCAGGTCTAAGATTTAAATCCCACCTCAACAAAATTTGAAAATTATATCTGCATTATGATAACTGTCTCTTGTCGATCAGATGGCCTTATGCAGCTGTAACTCAAGTACACTAAGTTAGGTCCTATTAACATTGGAAGCTTAGAGTATCTTTGTGAAGTATAACATTACATGTACATAGAAGAATGTATAACCAGTATTGTATAAGACTTCAATGCAAACTAACAATAAAACCACTAGGTATAGAAGACTAAGGAACCAAGATGATAGAAACCTACTTGGAAATTCCTAAGTAAAGAGATAGTATAAACTTTTAACAATACTATTGAACTGGTTGAAGCTTATAAAACATCTTTATAAGAACTGAAGCTTAAACTAAACATCAAATATGTGTAGAGGAGCATATAACCAACTAGACTACAAAATTTGTCAAAAAAAAAAATACAGAAGTATACTATACTAGGCCATTTGAATTAGTAGTTTGAAAGAGACTACTAGTTCTAAGTTGCAACTAGTAAAAGATGATAGAGAAGATGCCAGAAAGATAGATACTGGGGTTCTAGTAAACTTTAGAAGGAAAAAATAGTATAACATAGCAGTTAAGCAGATAACCCTTGTGACTGCAAATGTTAGGTAACTATAGCATGTTTCATACAACTAGGTTAGTATCTGCAAAACATAAAGACTCTAGTAAGTTTTCTGTCAAGGATAAAGTAGTTTTAAAGTTACTAACCAGTATTAGAAACTT